CGATCCCTATTCGAAGTCGGGGCGTTGTTCGCCGATCCTTGTGCGGCAGCGGCATCATCAAACTGGCATAAATCTTTAATGGAATTCATTCATTATGGGGCCACAAAGAGGCACTTTGGCCCGGCCAACAATGGCCCTGGAGGCCCTCGTTCTTGCCGTTTTGTATCCTGGCGGGCATTGTAAATTCCCCTTTGTATTTGCGCGTCCCGGGTCGCAATTATGTTCGTGTGTGTATTTTCCGCAAAAGGAAGAGGCGATCCTGGGCCTTTGTGGCCTTTGTCAGTGATAAAGCGAAGGCGCTAAAGGATAACACCTTCTTAACACCTACCAGGCCAATTGTTTGTCTTGGATGCGGTGAATTGAAAGGAATCAGAGCTGTGCCAAAAAAGCATTCAAAAGTCATTGATGGAAAGCGTTAGACCGCACTGATGAATTGGATCAATTTACGGAAAACTGATCAAAGGGAATTGAATGGGAATTGGGATTTCGTTTTATTTCTTTATGTCTTTATTAAACTGTTGTCTAGCTAATGTATGGATGAGTGAATCAATGGGATAAGCCACAATGAAAAGATTTGAAAAGTATTGAAAGAGAAAGCCTTGCTTAGGCATAAAGATATTAGTTTGACAACAAAACAGGATAATTTTAAGAATGATATTAGTCATACTACCTTTTTCAGAGATCATCACATTCAAAAAATCATAAAAAGTATTAGCAGAGAGATATTTGAAAAATTCTTTTTGCACTTACTATAAGTCTTGTTTGAAGAATCTTTAAGCTTTATTGTTTCAAACATTTTACTTTGATGCCAAAATGTACATGAAATAAGTTCAAATTATGAGTAGATTTAACACTATATTTTTTCAAAATGTGTATTTTAGTGTAAACTAGTGAACTATTATTAGTAAATTGTTCTCTTAATTGTATTTGCTAGAAAAATACACTCTTTTTATTTTTGATAAAATATTTTATAGCTCCCAAAATGTAATTCGTATTCTTATTTCAGAGGTCTGGTTGAAGAACCATTTATCCCTGATTGGCCAGCTTGACTTCTTCATCTTGAGGACCGCCGACTGCCCAATCCTTTCCCATGTGCATTACTCATTACCATCATCGACTTCCTACCGATCCCACAGCTTGCATCACCACACACCTCACAGAGCGCAGGAAACACCCCCAAACGTAATTAAGCCGTTGCCTTCAATCGCCGATCTCCAGCCCAATCCAATACAATCCAATCCCGAACCCGGTGAGCTCTACTGCCCCGCAGCCCTTTGGCCCCCGCCCCTGGTCCTTGATGGTTGTTGTGATTTCGAGGCGTGAAATAAATTGATAATTTGGACTTTATTGGATTCCCCAGAATCAGACTCGCATACCTCGGCCTTTTCATGTGTGTGCTGCATGCCTCGATGCGCTGCTGTAGGTCTCCATCTTCTCGTCCATCCCGGTTCTTAGCTCCCTACCCATCCCCAGCGATCCCATACCATCCCATACCATCCTTCATCTGCTTGTGGGCAATTAATCTGGGTGAGCGTGCGCGGCTGGCTGGCAAGGATTAAATCGATTTTATGTAGCCGCAACTCGATCATGATTTTTCGTTTGTTCCCGAATCATGGTTTGGTGTATTTGGAGGGGAAAATCCCAGGTCGACAGCGTCTGCAGATTATGAAAATTACGATTGCTGGGGGCCTAGAGCCCCACCAAAACGGTAGCCGCCGGCCACAAGCCATCGGCGACCACCGGGAACCACCGAAAACCAATCGAAACCCACGGCAGCCGCAACAGTTTAGCGCTTTTTGTCTTCCGCTCCGCGTTTATGGCCCCAAACGCTGTTTATTGATGGGCACAACGACTAAGCGGATCTGCATGCGCATAAATTGCCTCAACTCTGTCAGAGACTCTTAAAAATCAATAAATTCACAGTCAAATTTCGTCGGAGAATGCGTTCCCAAAAACGCACGTTAAAATGTCATAAACAACTTTGTCATAATTTTGGTAATTAAAATTGGCCGCCCGAAAGCGGTGACCTAAGTGGGAATACATAAGAACTGGGAATGAGTTAGTGAGCAACTTGTGAGTCATTAAATAATTAATTTTAAACCTTTAATAAATATTTACAAAGTTTATATTCATATGATCTATCAAAAAATTGTGGGTGTAAGGTACTAATTTAAAATGATGTAAAGCTTACATACATTTTTTAACAAATTGGTGTTAAAGCAACTATAAAATGATTAAAAATTGTTTAAAATAAATATTTATATACTTTTAAAATTAAAACTAAAGCAATTATCTTAAAAATAAATTTATAAATAAAATCAGTCCTTATTATAATATAAGTTATATTTGTTTTGTATTTAATATTTTCTAACAGATTATTTTCAAAATATAAAAAATGATTAGAAATAGAACAAGTTATGTTCTTTAAGACAAATTAATCGACATTTTAAAATTTTTTGTCAGGTATAACATACATAGATGTCACGACCTCTCAAGTAACCCCCATCACGCACTCATCTCTAGGCGATCCGATGGATTCTCTTTGTCTGATTTATCTCACCGCCCTGAGGTGTGACTGTGACTTTGTTGTGCGGTTTTATGGGTCTCCAGTGGGCTACTTACAGTGGGCATAAATGCTGTTGGTTCGGGGGCACTTTATAGGCCTTAATGACGGCTTTTTCAGTTAATTGAATTACTTTTGAAAAGTCCATCTTTATGGCCGATTGATGAGTAAGAAACCCGCTTTCGGTTTACCATATTTTACAAATATTTATGGCCCGGAGGCAGATCTCTCAACGGAGTATAAGCAGAAATTGATTAGCGCCCGTGACGATCGCTTTTGGCTAAGTTTGCCCACATCGTTTCGGATTAGCACATCCTTCAACTGGTACCAGTCGATCTAAACATAGATAATTGCCAGACTTCAGCCCCTTTTAATTGACGCCAATCAAAGACACCACGACATCCGATCCAACCCATACGACAGTTGTTGGATCGACTGGTCTGAAAATATAAAAAATGTTCGGGATCGGAACCACAAGTCGGAGATTAACTCATTCGGAGCGGTGAGCAGACAACAGTTGGCCAAATAGAAAGCGGCTGCATTAGGAGCATAAACAATTTAAAAACCATTTGGCAAAACAATTTTCTAATGACGCTCATATGCCGGCCGTGCATTTTTGTTGCGGTTTTCGAGCGGCAATTTACCCGGCAACGGCCACGGGCAATTAGACCAATGAAATCCTTTATCAAAACAATGGCCCGCCAACAAAGGGTTTCCTTGGTTGCCCAAAACCGAAAACGTATAATAAATAGACAAGATGGAATGAAAGGAAGATGGAAAGGGCGCACTAATAGATACAATGCCTAATAGATACATTTTACAATGCCAGCGGAGCGTGCTCAATGGCCATCAGACACTGGCACTCAAACAAACAATAAAAAATTTATTAAAGAAAGGCAGGGAAAATTACGAAACGCACAAATTAAAAACACTGCCGTACAATGAAGCGAAGAAAGTGGCATGTCATATGGCCGATGGAACACCCAGAAGTAAGTTCCATCCGAGAAAAGTAAAAAAAAAACAAAAAACCCATGAAGAAAATCAACCCAGCCCCAGAAATTGAAATATGGACTCGCGCGGGGAAATGTATCAATTTGGTTTCGGGCTTGATTGGTGCGCTTAGGGCTCGCAACGAAATCATTTAGGAAATTGATATGGCTTTGGTTAAATATAGCCGTTCTCGTTTCTGGGCCCTACCACACGCCACCAACGATTATAAACAAATTTCCGCTTTTGACGCGCGCGCTCTCCCCGAAAAACAAACCAACAAATTGGTGGGCTGATGACCTGAGAAAGTCCGCCAATGGACTGTTCAGAAACGAATTTGTGCAATTAACGCCCAGCACCCGAAAGAAATGAAATATGGATTTATAGAGAAAAGCATTTGTTCGCAGCGCGTGTACCATTTATTAATTATACGCCACGTTGGGCCGAGCTTACGGCAACGCCCTGCAAATAAAGGGCGACCACACAGAAAGAGGTTCGGGCCTCATTTGGCTTCCATTTTGTTTCGGTTAAGTGCTTACTTGCTGTTTTACATGGCACCTTGAGGGTATACAAATGGGTCCATTAGCCTGTTCAAAATTAAACAAAAGAAAAATGGTTTGACATAAATAGTTGGTTAGACTGTTTCTTCAAGAAACATCCTTTCGACAAACAGATTATTATATCATATTTTTAGTTGAAGGTTCAGATACATTGTCTGCATTGTATTTCATATGTGGAAGTACCATTAACCAAGGAATAAGATATCTTCCTTACGAAAAACAGGCCATTAAACCATATTTATAATTGAACATTCAGATGTATGGATTGTATTGTATTTCATATATGGGAAGTACTATTAACTAACGTATAATATTTCTGTTGAAGAAAATTCTGGCAAGAAAGTAAGACGACAAATCAACCCCAAAGACCCTTCATTAAAACCAATACTTGGGGATCTACTGAGGGCTAACTGCGAGCCTACTGTGCTGTGCAATTCGCGTTTAATTAGATTTTAATATAGGCAAGGCGCTGGTAAATGATCTTTACATAATGAGTTGCCTATGCGATTACATCATCATTAGAGGCCAAGGAAACTTTGCATACCGGCAATTACGCGCGGCAATCGTTTAGGGCCTCAAATAATATGTGTGGATATACGTGTGTAACATGAGTCAGTCCCATTCCCCCGGATCGAAAACAAAGCCACGTGCCGCTCCCAGCGGAAATTCAAAACTCAGCATGTGGCAGCCCGCAAATTGCAAATTAAAACAAATAAGTCAGCGGCGCAAAAAATTATACCAATTTAATGATTCGATTGGATTGCATTCGATCCGATCAATATGGCGCATGGCGAATATTTCTGGGCATATGTGGCGGTGGCTTAAAGCCTCTTTAAGCCATTTTCCAGCCGAGTCTTAAATCATCCACCAGGACAGCGTGCCCAAAGGGGTGGCTCTTCTGCCCTGCCATTTGGCCCGGTGGTCGCTGGGTTTTCCATTAGTGGCCAGCCAGGCGATTGATGCGATGATGGGCCCGGGAAGCGCTCCTGACGCCATTACGTCCGCCCAGGACCTGACTTGCATATAAATAACCAGCGAAAGCAAACGAAAATATTTTCGGATCCCGCATCTGGTAAACAACCACAAAGACAGATAAAGTTAAACTCATTTTACGGTGTGCGAAATTGTAAATATTTACGTTCACGCTGCTAACGTGTCCAGTGGTTGAGCTGCCATCAGGGATGCTACCCGTAACCCAGATGGACACAGTGGTGTCTAAGGGGAGTTTTAGGAAGAGCAGGGTGATGTTACTCGATGGAGGTAATGGCATGTTAGTCTAAATGTCTAAAAAATTATACGCTATGTTACTTTTACCTGGTTCCCATGATGGATGCGCCTTTACTCACATAATTTTTTTTTTATATTAACTTTTCAAACAATTGTAATATTCTGCGGTGATTTTAACTTTGAGTAATTCTGTTTAACTTAATTTCACAGTAGGTCTGTTTTAATGCAACATCGAAAGCTTTTTTATGTCATCTGGAAAGATTATAGAAATAAGTTACCATTTTTATATTTTTTTAGAACAGTACTTTAAGCCGGGATAATATTGACATATTTGGAACAGACTTCTGAGTTAGGACTATAATTCTCGTTCTTTTTTGCTTATTTTGTACAGCTCAGGCAATTTTTTAATACCACAGTGACTTATACTACAAACATCTTATTATTTATACTATATATTAATCGTTTTTCCTCATATTTTGATGACATATCTTAAAAGATTTTTCCCAGATCCAGTTTCAGTTTTTAGATTAAAAGTATGTACGATAATATAATATAACGGCAATGAAGATCCGAGCACAAAGATCCAAATAAAAGTTTTGAAAGTCACGCCATGACTTTCTGTCCGCAAAACTGGCAAGTTGGCCCACTGTGATTGCTTCGGCGCCATGTTGGCTTTGTTGTGGCCCCTCTTATTATTGCCACAGTCATTGTTGGTGTTGCTGTTGGGCGCTGTTGTTATCCTTACGCATCACAACACTTAATGCGGATAAATGGTCTGACAATTACGTTTATGTCAACAATAAAAATTAAATTAAATCGCTTTTCCGAAGGCCCTGCCCCGCCTCCTCTGCCGCCCCTGAAATGCCACCCCGGCAGATGTTGGAAATAGATTGAGGTGACGTTGCCAGCAAAATACAAACCAATCAGAACGGGCGGGCGGCGAAAAGGGGGAGTTGTTTTGGGTGCGTCGGAATATTATGAAAAATCAGGGAACGTGTGAAGAGTGTCATGCCGCCATGCAAACTGTCAACCGGCATGTCAGGCAAGTGTCACTTCAAAGTGCCACCGCCCCGGCCACGCCCCTCCGCCTGCCGCCCCCTCCGCGGCCAGGACGTGCCGCATCTTGCGGCGGGATGAACGCACAACATGCGTGACAATTTAATGAGCACTCGCTGGCAGCCCGGCAAGGCAATGTTTTAATCAAAATTACGCATAATGGATTTTGATTTTATTAAATGCGACTTAAATGAGTTGGGTCTTCAGGAAAGGGGGGATATTTGGGGGACATCTTGGGGCTGCAGACTAATTAAGCAGACGGCACTCGGGAAACGGCGGCCATGCCACATCAGCAGCAGCGCCGCCCGTGTTTTCGGGGGTGTGCAAGTATCTCAAGAGTATCTGAAAAGTATCTGTCAGATACAAATGTATGCACATATATACTCCCTACCAAGGGGGTGTATCTCTGCCGATTTGCTTGAGATCCATTCGGCGCTAATTGCGTTTATATCCTTCAGTTAATGGCACTTAATTAACAACTGTGCCGCGTCACTGAGGCGTGGGGCAAAGCTCTTTTTCGGATGTGAGCACACAGGAAAACTGTGCCTGCTAGAAATTTGGCCCAAAGGGAACTACGAAACTACATCAAATTGATGCATTTGATCTTCAATTTATAGCCAGGCAGATGAAAGGAATAAGAAATTGAGAAGCACTTAAATAGTTTTAAGAGCTTTGGTTAAATTACATTTAAAAAAAAACTAATAAAACTATTAAATACTATCAACTTGCCGTATAACCTATTATAAAACATTTAAATCACATAAAAAGTTTTAGACATAAACACATTTACCTAGTGCATTTTAAGTTCATTTAAAATCCTTGAATAAACTATAATGTTTAACAATGTAAAATTAATAAGAAACGAATTGGATGAATATCATAGAGAAAAATATTTTAACTGAATATAAGATCTTTGGACTGTCTTTGTGTTTTATCAATGCAAGATTATATCATATTGACACATGAATTAAAAAGGGAATTAAAAGTTTTATAAGTAACTTAACATTTTTGCACATGTCGTTGAACAATTTTTTAAAACTAAAAACAATTTATTTATTATTAATAGTTAATTCTGCGCATTCAATTTTCCATATTTAAAAAAATAACTTTTTTTAATCATACTTAAAAGCATTTAAGTATTATTATCAACCCCAAACACGTGCCCATAAAATCTTACAGGTTTCGGCTTTGATCTTGGGGCTCGCAAAATTAACAGCCATGGCTAACTGGTATCGTCTAGTTGGCTCCCAGTTTCTGGCAGTGTAATTCGGTAGCTCTCCGTACCGCTCACGTGCTCCATCGCCACATCGCGATCGGCTTTTCCCCGTATTTGGTCAGCGCTAACCAAAGTGAAATTTATGCCAGTTAAATGCGGCAAACAAAAGCAGCTCCAAACTGACAGTCCAATTAGCAGAGTCACATATTTGGGGCTGTGTCGTCCATATGGATATGTATAATATATCCATTTCCATATCTGGGCCGGATGTCACAAATTGCAGCCGAAAGCAGCGGAGGAGCGAATATTTATTCATGAGATCGGAGCGGGGATCGCAGATGGGTTCCAATCCAGGGCGATTCCGAATGCGATCCCGAACACGATTCCCAGGCCCCCAGCCAAGCAGAAAGCCTGTGGAAGTCACGCCCCCGTCTGCGGAAAAGTCTGCTCATTGCACGCACCACTGCCGAATTCTTAGGAATTATACGAGACGTTGGCTTTTATTAAGCAGTCATCAATTATTTTGAATAAAACTCGAATAAATAACCCGGTCCGCACAGCTCTGGGTACAGTTGGCGCCGACAGTAAATCGCCAGTCAGTGGGTTATGATTTCTAGTTACCTCAAATATTGTTAGATGGATATTAATGCTAATTGGCAGCCGTTGACAGTCTGGCTTTTTTCCGTCTGTTGCCATGGCTCAAGTATGACTATTGTTTCGGCTTAATTGTTTAGCTTGATTATGGCCGGGCTGCTAATGAAACTCATATGAGAGCATAAAAACAAGTGACTCGGAGTTTGGGGGGCCCTCTAATTGAGTCGCCGAGGAATGCTGTCTCAGGCCCCGGTCTGCTATGAAGTATACCCAAATATACATCCAAGATCTGAGACTGGGGCTGATTGGGGCGTGATTTGCGCAACGCTAAAATGGGTTCAAGTGGGTTTTAACTAATTTTGATTAGCGGCTTTTTGTGGCCGCGACGACGTGATATTTTTGAGATGTGCGAATTGAAGTCATATACGGTTGGGTTTCGGTCGACTATTAATACTAACGCAAATACAGCATATCGGCGGCGATACCGAAATTACCATAAACACAATGTGCTAATTGGTGAAACTTTAAACAAATTAATTTACGCAGTCGCCACAAAAATAGTCGGCGACTAATTAGCCAGCCAGCCATTAGGCTAACACCAAAAGCAATTCAATGGAATGGCCAAGTCCAAACAAATTCGATCTAATTGATTTATTTTCGTGTTTGTCTTTCCCAACAAAATGGTTGTTTCGCCTAAAATCGGGCAGCTGACTCAACTTTCAGTTCCCCTCCAATCCGAACTAGTCGATCACGAGCATTACGACGTGCTTTAGGATCTGGAAGTTGGGAACAGAAAGCCACATGACAAACCCACTTGATAATTATGACAGGGCCAAAGCCCATTTACGTAGTCGTACACATGATCAAATTAGCACTTTGATTTAGTTTCGCTTTACGTTAACATGGCTGCAGAACGAAGCGAAATGCAATTAAGACAATCAAGCCGAGAACGGAGCCTCGGGCAGTCGTAGTTAGTCTAATGATACACCTGGAGAAAAAGTGCCGGTAAGATGGTATTAATAAGCCACTCCGGTGATAAAGGAAGTGGAAGCTTAGGACAAATAACACCCTTGGTAGATGTTAATTATAGATTGTATCTCGCTAGACATAACATAAGTAATATTGGTTTAAGACAGGTTTTTTTAGTTTTAAAAAGTTTTATACAACTGCTTTTATCTTTGAACATACACAGTTTTGAACATCCTATTCCAAGATATTTTAATATGGTTCGAAGTATAAGAAAATCCCTGATTATCTTTAACTTAAAGACATTTTTAACAAAAACAGTAATCCGGATAGCAAGGGGCATGTTCCCGGATTTACTTAAAAACGTTATTTAGCTTGTTTCCTGAATCCCCGGAGAATAATATTTTTTAAGCGTAGTATATAATATAATATTTATTTAAGACAGGTTTCGGATAGGCATGTTCCGGGATTATGTATTTAGTTTTAAATAGTTTTATACAACTGCTTTTATCTTTGTACATACACAGTTTTGAACATCCTATTCCAAGATATTTTAATATGGTTTAAAATATATGAAAGTCCCTGATCATCCTTCATATAAAGACATTTCTAACAGAACAGTAATACAGTTAGCAATGGGCATTTTCCTGGATTTACTCAAAAACGTTATTTAGCTAGTTTTCTGAATCCCCGGAGAATAATATTTTTTCAAGCATAATATTAATTAATAATATTTTAACCTTATAATGTTCAAATTACAGAGGTGTGTCTTTCAAGTAAACGAAAACAGAAATACTGTGAATAGCCCCCGATTTTATTACATTATAGTCATTTTTGCTTCAACTTAATTTAGAAAAACTAAATAAGGTTCTTCGAAAATAAAGATTCTTTCAATAAGACAATTTTTCCATGTGTATCTTGACATTTTATCCACACCTCACTGCACTTTCTGCCGCATTTTGTTGGCCAGATTTTATCACAGTGGGCTGCCAACATGGCGGCCGGTGCAAGAGGCAATAAACAAATTTCCAGCTAAGCCTTTCGGGCCGCGCTTTTAAGCCAAGGCGGCAGTGGCAATGGCCGCCTGGCCAGCTGGCCGACCAATCAAAGCGGCCAGTTTCCAGTTTACCACATGCACTTGGCCAACTTGCTGGATCGGATCTCCAGTGCAGCTCCGCTGCAGTGGGGGATTACGAACTGGAACTGAAATCCAAGAATGGCCAGGATTTCTGACTGATGGCTGGGTTCGTGCTGGGCTGGTGTTTCTGGGGAACCATTTGCATATGGATCCACTACGACCGTTGACTATCGTGGCCTGACACATTATGTCATTATTATATCGTTGCAACGTGTAATTGGAGGAAAACTTTTGCCGCCAAATGACAAATGCATGCGCCAAAACGGACGAAAACATCAAAAAGCCGCCGTCGAGCTTATGAATTACAAATAACCAGGCGACCAGGCAGCGAAATGGCCCC